CAAAACTACAATGAGGTACCACCTCACATTGGTCAGAATGGCCATCACTAAAAAGTCTACAAATAACAGATGCTGGAGAGGGCGTGGAGAAAAGGGAGCCCTCCTGCACTGCTGGTGCGAATGTGAGCTGGTGCAGCCGCTGTGGAGAACAGTAGGCAGGTTCCTCAGAAAACTAAAAATTGAATTACCATATGATCCAGCAATCCCACTCCTGGGCATATACCCAGACAAAACTATAATTCAGAAAGATACATGCACCCCTATGTTCACAGCAGCACTATTCACAATAGCTAAGACATGGAAACAACCTAAATGTCCATCAACAGATGAATGCATGAAGAAGATGTGGTACATGTAAACAATGGGATACTACTCAGCCATAAAAAAGAATGAAATAATGCCATTTGCAGCAACATGGATGGACCATACTAAGTGAAGTAAGTCAGAAAGAGGAAGCCAAATACGATATGATATCACTTATATGTGGAATCTGAAATATGAACCTATCTAGGGCTTCCCTGGTGGCGCAGTGGTTGGGGGTCCGCCTGCCGATGCAGGGGGCGCGGGTTCGTGCCCCGGTCCGGGAAGGTCCCACATGCCGCAGAGCGTCTGGGCCCGTGAGCCGTGGCCGCTGAGCCTGCGCGTCCGGAGCCTGTGCTGCGCAACGGGAGAGGCCACAGCAGTGAGAGGCCCGCGTAAAGCAAAAATAAATAAATAAAATAAAATAAAATATGAACCTATCTATGAAACAGAAACATGAACACAGAGAACAGACTGGTGGTTGCCAAGGCGGAGGGCGTTGGGGGAGGGATGGAGTGGGAGGTTGGGGTCAGCACATGTGAGCTATTATATACAGAATGGATAAACAACAGGGTCCTACTGTAGAGCACAGGGAACTATATTCAATATCCTGTGATAAACCATAATGGAGAAGAATATGAAAAAGAATATATGTATATATATATATATATATATATATATATATATATGTAAGTGAATTAGTTTGCTGTAAGCAGAAATTAACACAACATTGTAAATCAACTATACTTCAATTAAAAAAAGGGAGAAAATCAGGTTACTAAAATTAAATTTCAAGCAGCACCCACCAGTGAGGGTTCCTAAGAGAAGGTGGTAGCCTGTCACTTTAATCTAGGAGAGAGATTCCCCAGGCAATGGCTCAAAAGATGGGAAATGGTTCTAGAAATGTCTCAGACACAAGTCCCTTCTTACACCCCTCTCCAGAAGAGCTGCCTAAACAGAGAAGGCAAAAGAGCCTGGATGAAATTGCCTGAGGGTGAAAGTCTTCTGCGAAGACCGAGACCTACCGCCCCTGTTGAATGCCTGACTCATCACTGGCACAGCAGACCCTTTACTATACCAGATCTCAGCGCTACCTGCAGAAGGGTGCTGCTGCTGCACTAGCCCTCCTTGCTTCTCTGAACCACAGTCACGTTCCATTGGGAACATCTGACTGGCTAAGCTAAGTTAACGTACTGCCTGTACTTCCTTCCTGGTTCCCCTAGTGGAAGGCAGAATTCTCTGCCTACCGTCAAGGCTCCCAGAGTGGGGCTGCATCCAAGCTTAGGAAGAGGGTTCAGAGGTTGGGAAAAAAGAAAGTCCACTACAATTTTTAAACACTTGGTGGAGACACTGAAAAGTTTGAAATCATGAGATGTCTAAATTAGAAACCTAAAAATTCTTAACGTATTCAGTAAGGACCAAGTCCTTTAAAACATACTTTCTTTCCAAGGTAGTGCAAATTACTTTTGGGGGTAAGGAGTTAAATGCGGAGGGATGGCAAAGAGAGACAAGACTGTCAGAAGCCAGAAGAGGGAGAAGAAAAAGAAAAAGTGAACCAGCTCTGAATGGTGCTGCCCTGTTGTCTCAATGCTCCCTGCAGTTTCCTGAGGTGGGTACTTGAGTCCCCACGTAACAAAAGAAAACCTGAGCTCAGAGTAAAGTGGTTGTTAGGGTCACCCAGCTAATATGTGGTGCAGCGAGGAATGCAGCCAAGATCTTCCTGACCCCCCAACATTCAGGCTTTTCCCCAGGGCTACTGTAGCTTCATCTAGTGCTCCTAGGAGAAGCTGCTGGGCGTACGTACACACACACACACACACACACACACAAAACACAGTCAGAAAAAGTAGAGAAAAAGGAATACACACATGTGCCTCCGTATTTACGCACATGTCCGTTATCTCCATGTTCACTGAAAGAGAAAGTAAGAAGGGACAAGACAGCAGATTCTGAAACAACAGTCAAACTCTCTAGGTGTATCTTTCCATATATACCAGGGTCACCCCTCCTGTTTCTCTTCCTGGACACTTTCAGAGACTTACAGCCCGGGGAGTGACTGATTCTTCATGAAGCCAGGGTAGCAAAGGCATTCACACCCAGGAATCCTTGAATGGAGCCAAGAACAGGACTTAATCAAATAGGTACAAGGTTGCTTCCCCTGTTTGTAGGGAGAGTCTTCCAGCTTGCACCTTGGACTTTTCAAAAGAGGCCAAGAGTGCTCTCTGCTAAAAAGAAAGGTCCCCTTTCTCAACACACTTTTTGTTGTCACTTGTCAACACACTTTTTTCGTTTTTTTTTTTTGCATTGAGAAACCAGAGCAAAACATAGAAGTGAACTTTGTAGCTATTTAACTCGAAAACCAAAGACCAGCCAGACTGTTTAGAAGCCAACAGTGATCAGATGACCATGACTTTTAGCTGCGTGTTTGCAAACACACGCGTATATTGCTTTGTGTATATTCACGTACAAAATCACTGTAGTACACACAACCTTTCTACAGTTCAACGGTAACCAGTACTGGCCCTGTGATACATTTTTCGGCCTTCACAGAGTTAAACAGAAATCCATCAGGAGGTTTAGCTAATATGTGGCTGTACTGAATACATTTAAGTCAAGAAATTCTCAATATGACATTTCTCTGGGCATTGAGCCCAAATTAGTTTCGTGGAGCTTCATCTCCCAGATTTATTTTTAAGTAAATGCTTTATAAATTATTATTCTATTATCCATCATATAAACTTTGAAGGACCAATATATACGAGTGAAAAAGCAGAAGGCTGTGCAACTTACAACCACAATGGCAGAAAAATGGACTTTTCATGCCAGCTACAAAATAAGAGCCAAAAGAGTCAGGAGAATTTTCTGGGCTTTATGGCAGCTCAGAGTCCATCTGTTTCATCTGCTATTTGGCTGTGTGAACGGTTGGACTTTATTTCCTCTACATCATACTGAACTATTTTTTTTTTCTACTAAAAGAATCTTTATAATGGAAAAAATAAAAAAACATCAGTAGAAAGCTTTAGCCATCTAACAGGCAACCTTAACTTAGTCCATCTCCCAGCATCACAATTTTGAATCAGCTAATCTTTTTTTTTAAAGTGTCTTTATTGGAGTATAATTGCTTTACAATGGTGTGTTAGTTTCTGCTTTATAACAAAGTGAATCAGCTATACATATACATATATCCCCATATCTCCTCCCTCTTGCGTCTCCCTCCCACCCTCCCTATCCCACCCCTCTACGTGGTCACAAAGCACCGAGCTGATCTCCCTGTGCTATGCAGCTGCTTCCCACTAGCTATCTGTTTTACATTTGGTAGTGTATATATGTCCATGCCACTCTCTCACTTCGTCCCAGCTTACCCTTCCCCGTGTCCTCAAGTCCATTCTCTATGGCTGCGTCTTTATTCCTGTCCTGCCCCTAGGTTCTTCAGACGCTTTTTTTTTTTTTAGATTCCATATATATGTGTTAGCATACGGTTATTTGTTTTTCTGACTTACTTCACTCTGTATGACAGTCTCTAGGTCCATCCACCTCACTACAAATAACTCAATTTTGTTTCTTTTTATGGCTGAGTAATATTCCATTGTATATATGTGCCACATCTTCTTTAGCCATTCATCTGTCAATGGACACTTAGGTTGCTTCCATCTCCTGGCTATTGTAAATAGTGCTGCAATGAACATTGTGGTACATGACTCTTTTTGAATTGTTGTTTTCTCAGGGTATATGCCCAGTAGTGGGATTGCTGGGTCATATGGTAGTTCTATTTCTAGTTTTTTAAGGAACCTCCATACTGTTCTCCATAGTGGCTGTATCAATTTACATTCCCACCAACAGTGCAAGAGGGTTCCCTTTTCTCCACACACGCTCCAGCATTTATTGTTTGTAGTTATCTTGATGATGGCCATTCTGACCAGTGTGAGGTGATACCTCATTGTAGTTTTGATTTGCATTTCTCTACTGACTAGTGATGTTGAGCATCCTTTCATGTGTCTGTTGGAAATCTGTATATCTTCTTTGGAGAAATGTCTATTTAGATCTTCTGCCCATTTTTGGATTGGGTTGTTTGTTTTTTTGATATTGAGCTGCATGAACTGCTTGTGTTTTTTGGAAATTAATCCTTTATCAGTTGCTTCGTTTGCAAATATTTTCTCTCATTCTGAGGGTTGTCTTTTCATCTTGTTTATGGTTTCCTTTGCTGTGCAAAAGCTTCATTAGGTCCCATTTGTTTATTTTTGTTTTTATTTCCATTTCTCTAGGAGGTGGGTCAAAAAGGATCTGCTGTGATTTATGCCATACAGTGTTAAACAAACAAAAACTTTTAGCCAATGATTGGGCACAGATGTGTTGCATTATGTATTGAAATAGGCTTTATGTGCACCTCCTTTATATATCTTAAATAATTTATTGTATTTGGTCTCTAGAATCTTATTTCTTTGAGCATTTAACCCCCCAGTTCAGTGTCTAGCACAAAATAGCGCTTCAAGTACACTGGATGGGGGCTTCCCTGGTGGCGCAGTGGTTGAGAGTCCGCCTGCCGATGCGGGGGACGTGGGTTCGTGCCCCGGTCCGGGAGGATCCCACGTGCCACGGAGCGGCTGGGCTCATGGGCCGGGGCCGCTGGGCCTGTGCGTCCGGAGCCCGTGCTCTGCAACGAGAGAGGCCACAGCAGTGAGAGGCCCGCGTACAGCAAAAAAAACCAAAAACAAACAAAGAAACAAACAAAAAAGAATACTGGATGTTTGAAAGGCATAATCAGTCCACATAAACTGGAAAAGCAAGCAAAATTGTTTAGAATTAGTACTACTTAAAGATTTTTGTCTGGTGTTTAAAAAAATTCTAATCATTTTTTTAATAACATCTTTATTGGAGTATGATTGCTTTACAGTAATCACTCTTGTTTGTAATAAAAAATGTTATTTCATGTGGTTTGATTGTATCATACAATAAAGGTTGTTGCATACGAAATATACAATATTTCAAAACAGTCTATATGACATATATTTCTTGGTATTCATAGATTACTAGCCAACGTTGTGTGAATTGAATTAAATAAAATTCCTATCAAGTTGGAATCATAGATCTGGAAGAAATCTCAAGACAACAAACAGTGCAGCCTCCCCCCATATAGGTAGACCAACCAACCTCCTGCAAAAGGCAATGATGGTCTTTGCACATTTAGAGATATCTCCATAAAGACACCTTCTAGAAGGGCTGCCAGTGTGGTGAATCACTGAAGGGAGGGGAGACTCCAACAGGGAGGCTGATTGCCCACGGCCGTCTTCAAGGCTGTTGGGTAGATTGGACAGACTTGCCCCCAACACAGTCTCATTGGAGGAAGCCTGTCCTTTTTCCTTTTGTGGGGGAGTTTTTGCCTTATCCTAATCAGCCTGGGATCACTGCCTGGAACCTACGTTTATTGAATGGGGGAAACTAGGTTTGGCCCAGTGGACCAAGCTGTCCAGTGTAAGGCACCAACTAGGGAATGAGGGTAACTGCCAACCTAGACTTCAGCATCTAAGACCAGTGAGGTTGACTGCAAAGGTGTGCGCCTTTGAAGTCCTCTTACATCTCGTCTGGAATGCCACGGCAGCATACAGCAGACACAGCATACAGCGGGGACAGCTAAAGCACGTGGACACCAGCAGCCAGCGTGTCTTCCCAGGCAGAACTGGCTCTTGGGTGAATCCAGTTTGCAAGCCAAGAGCCACCTAGAGGCATGTCCCTCTACAGAACACTGAGTCACCCTGCTCATTGCGCCAGTTGTGTTAAAATGTACCTGTGGGATTTTAACTCATGGAGGTGACTAAGTGAACACGGAGAGGCTAATGCCATTGAAAGAAGTTGTTACTTACATTTTCCAAAAGAAGGGAACACACTACAGCACACGGGGCCACATGGGGAAGCACTAGGCTTGGTCAGGGCAGCAGCAGGAGCGTGGGGAGAGCACAGGCCACAGAATTTCCTGGGCTTTCCCTGGGAAAGGCAACGCTTAGGATTAGTCCGAGTAATTCTAGCATGGGCTTTGTTTTTGTTTGTTTTTAAATTATTTATTTATGTATTTATTTTTGGCTGCGTTGGGTCTTTGTTGCTGCACGCGGGCTTTCTCTAGTTGTGGTGAGCGGGGGCTGCTCTTTGTGGGCTTCTTATTGCAGTGGCTTCTCTTGTTGCGGAGCACGGGCTCTACGCATGCGGGCTTCAGTAGTTGTGGCTCACGGGCTTAGTTGCTCCGCGGCATGTGGGATCTTCCTGGACCAGGGATCGAACCCATGTCCCCTGCATTGGCAGGCGGATTCTTAACCACTGCGCCACCAGGGAAGTCCTTTAGTATGGGCTTTGAAGCCTAGAGGCTGTCCTTGGTTGTCTGGTACCTGGCCCTGGGTTGATATAGAGCTGGGGAAATACTGGCTTGGTGTGTGAGAATTAAATAAAAGAGGTGATGGGGGGTGCTTCCCAGGTGGCGCAGTGGTTGAGTCCGCCTGCCGATGCAGGGGACACGGGTTCGTGCCCCGGTCCGGGAGGATCCCGCATGCCGCGGAGCGGCCGGGCCCGTGAGCCACGGCCGCTGAGCCTGTGCGCCTGGAGCCTGTGCTCCGCAACGGGAGAGGCCACAACAGTGAGAGGCCCACGTACCGAAAAAAAAAAAAAAAAAAAAGAGGTGATGGGGGATATGGATCTGGGATTGGTTGGAGGGTTTGTAATATGATTTTCACACACCCACAAAAGCTGGATGATAGGGGAGATGAAAACAACCTTGGCTGTTTAGTTTGGCCCTGTGATGACTGAATGCCAAGTGGACAAATACAGAATCTAAGAAAATACAATCATAACAGTTGGCTCTTATGTCCCTTTGATATATCCCATTGTTTTGCTCTCTGGGAACTTCTTTACTTTCTTGTACTACAAGATGCTCCGGGCACATCTTGTATTTTCCCTGCTCTCTCCCTAGAATCAGGCACTTCTCCAAGGATCCTTGGTTCCTTTTATTGGAAAATGGTGTTAGAAACCAAGATGTGGATGCTTGTCCTTGGTACTGCATCCTTAGTAGCAAGTTCTTGCTACTGAGGTGCCGTTGTTTCTAGGTCCTCTAATGATATAAGCCAGGAAATACATGTGTGTAGATAAACCCATGGATACACTCATATTTCTATCTATCTATCTACTTCCCTATCTTCCTATATTAAACTACACATGAAAACTTGAGTTCATACTGATGTCTCCAACACTATTCTAGTACCACAGGGTTCACTCTAGATTTCCCCCTTGCTTATTTGTAACTTTTTTTTTTTTTTTTTGGACAGTGAGAAACCTGGCTCGGGTCTACCTAAACGTTTGCTAATAATAATGACTCAATTTTGAATGAAGACAGAAAGTAAAGGAAGCAATGTGCTCTTCATAACAATTGTCCACACTAACCACCACCCTACTGTGATGTGGCCAAGAACACAGGTCCCAAAGTCAGTCCCCTTGGGTTTGACTTCCAGCTTCATCACTTAATAGCCATGTGTTTGTGGGCAAACAAGTCAAGTGATCTGTGCCTCAGTTTCCTCTCCTCTCAAAAAGGAGTCATGAAAGTACATACTCCATAGAGTTGATGGAAGAGAAAATGAGTTTACAGAAGCAAAGCACTTGGGATGGTGGCTCATGGTAAGTGCTAAATAATTAACTTTTTAAAAAATATTTGTTTATTTATTTTTGGCTGCACTGGGTCTTCGTTGCTGCAAGCGGGCTTTCTCTAGTTGCAACAAGTGGGGGCTACTTTTGGTTGTGGTGTGCGGGCTTCTCATTGCAGTGGCTTCTCTTGTTGCGGAGCACAGACTCTAGGCACGCAGACTTCAGTAGTTGTGGCGCGCGGGCTTCAGTAGTTGTGGCTCACGGGCTCTAGAGCGCAGGCTCAGTAGTTGTGGCACACAACCTTAGTTGCTCCATGGCATGTGGGATCTTCCTGGACCAGGGCTCGAACCTGTGTCCCCTGCATTGGCAGGCGGATTCTTAACCACTGCACCACCCGGGAAGTCCCAATAAGTAACTTTTTAAAAAAAGTCTATAACAGAAGATTTATTTGACCAAAATATCCAATAGCCAACAGTGACCTGATGACTTCCAATTTTAAGAGTGTCCGTAAATATGACTCATAAATCAATATAATACATAAAGAAAAATCACTTCAATATGGAAAATCTTCAGTTTAATATTTGTTTTAGATGAATCAATGCATTCCTCTGCAGCAACCTCTTTAACCATAACTTCTCCAAATTACACATCATTCATTTAGCGTGGTGTCATAAGATCTACTTTCAATTCCCTTTTATCATTATTACTGTTTTCAACTGGACTTATTTCCTTTTCACTGAGAAACTTGAGAACTTCAAAACTTTCTTTTACTTGAAGTCTGATCTTCCTTCAGGTCTGAAGTTTTTCTTTTATTATGTAGTAGTCCATTTCTTTAATAATCCCAATGAGAAAGCAGCACAGGCGTATTAGTATGCCACCTTGACATTTTAGGAATATTTTAAATCTTTGCAGTGGCAGTTTCTTTAAAAATGTAAAAATATCTGAAATATTTAGCCTTCACAAAGATGTAAAAGACATGTCTTGAATTTATCATCCACGTATATCTTATTTGAGCATTATAGCTGCTCTGCAGACAGCTTGTACTTTTTCCTCTAAAGTTCACGGCTATTGGTTCATAATTAAAACAAAAGGTCTTGTACAGTCAGGTGAAATTAAAATATTATAGAACCGGAGGGAACATTCAAAGTCGATCAGAGCAATATTTACAAAACTCACTTAGTCAAAGGAGTAACATGGAACTTATTCAAGAGAAGCTCGGGATTACTGTTAAACAAAGATTCCCACTCCCTTCCCCTAGAGAGTCTGATGCAGTAGACCTGATCCTGCAAATCTGGATTTTTAACAAGACTTCCAAGTGATGTTCATCATCAGGAAAGTTTGGAAGCACTGATTTAATCCAAGATCCTGATTTTATAAGGAAACTGAGGCCCAGGGAAGAGGATCCCCCGCTCCACCCACACACCCAATGTTCGTGAAGCACCTCCCCTTAGAGGGGTATGCTGAAAGGTTTGGGACAGTGCACTGCCCTGCACAGCCAGTGGAACCACAACGTGGTACAGCCTTTCAGGCAGACGGTTTGGCAATACTTGTCAAAATATTAAACGTGCTTATCTTTTGATGCTGTTATTCCAGATGAAAACAGAATTTCTTAAATTGTCACTCAGACCACTTGCATCAGAAGCACCTGTTGAGGATGTGGATCTCACCATCTCATTTCAATTGACTGAATCACAATCTCTGGGAGTGGGACCCGGCAATCTGCATTTTTTTTCTTTTTCTTTTCGGTACGCGGGCCTCTCACTGTTGTGGCCTCTCCCGCTGCGGAGCACAGGCTCCGGACGCGCAGGCTCAGCGGCCATGGCTCACGGGTCCAGCCGCTCTGCG